CCTTGTAGAAGAGAGTCTCCCGTTTGACATAGTTTTAGGCACAGATTGGGGAGAGGCAGCAGGAGCCACACTTCACCTCAGAGAGCATGAGTGTACGCTCCCTAGTGCGTCAGGCGAAGTCAAGAAAGTCCGCCTGTTCCATGAGTCCGGGGTAGATAATCCCCTTGCCCATTGCTGCCTCAGCGCTCCTGCATTCGCCAGGCTTGTGCGAAAGGAGCAGCTTGAAGAGCAGGTGTTCGTGGCCTATGTTAGGCCAGTGCCCGATCAGCCTAAGGAGGAAGAAAAGATCCATCCTGCTATTGTCAGTCTGCTGGAAGAATATAAGGATCTATCTGAACCACCTTCAGGGGTAGTGCCCAGACCGATCCAGCACCGAATAGAAATAGAACCTGGCAGTAGAACGCCGAAGGAGCAGTCTACAGGATGTCTCCCAAAGAGTTAGAGGAGCTACGCAAACAGTTAGATGAGCTCCTAGAAAAAGGATGGATCCGGCCTAGTTCATCGCCGTTCGGTGCACCTGTTCTGTTTGTCCCAAAGAAGGAGGGAGAGTTGCGCATGTGTATTGACTACAGGGGACTGAACGCCATCACGATTAAGAATGCAGAGCCATTACCGCGTATAGATGATTTGCTAGATCGAGTTCAGGGGTGCAGATATTTCTCGAAGATAGATCTAAAATCAGGGTACCATCAGATAGAGGTCCAACCTGACGATCAGTATAAGACGGCGTTCAGGACAAGGTATGGGCATTACGAGTTCATAGTGATGCCATTTGGACTTACTAATGCACCCGCAACATTTCAGCGCTGTATGAACGACTTGTTTAGACCTTGGCTAGATAGGTTCGTCGTAGTTTACCTGGACGATATCCTAATGTTCAGCAAGACCCTCGAGGAACATGAGGGCCATCTACGACAGATTCTAAGTAAGCTCAGAGAGTCTAACTTTAAGATTAACCCGAAGAAGTGCGAATGGGCCAAGACACATGTCCTTCACCTAGGCCATGTACTAGACGGCGATGGCATTCGGCCTGAGGACAGCAAGATAGCATCCATCAGAGATTGGCCAACTCCTAAGACACTAACAGAGTTGCGTTCTTTCTTAGGACTGGCTAACTACTACAGGAAGTTCGTGAGGAACTTCTCTACGATCGCTGCTCCCCTTCKTAGACTATTGAAGAAAGAAGCTATCTGGAAGTGGGATYAGGATTGTACGTSAGCCTTCAAGAAATTGAAGAAGGCTTTGATAGAGTACCCTGTTCTCAAAGTTGTCGATCCATCATTGCCATTTGTTGTTACTACAGACGCGAGTCAGTATGGCATAGGTGTCGTTCTACAGCAAGATGACAGCAACGGGTATAGGCCCGTAGAGTTCATGTCAGCCAGGCTGCCTTCAGAGAAAGTCGCCGCATCGACATACGAGAGGGAACTCTACGCTCTCAGGCAGGCTTTAGAGCACTGGAAACACTACCTGCTTGGGAGGCACTTCAAGGTTTATTCAGACCACGAGACTCTTAGATGGCTAAAGACACAAGCCAAGATGACGCCCAAGTTGACCAGATGGGCTGCTGAGATAGATCAGTATGACTTTGAGTTAAAACCCGTTAAAGGCAAGTACAACGTGGTAGCAGATGCGCTAAGCAGGGGATCTGATTATTTCGGTGCGATAGTACACTATCTAGACATAGGGGCCGATCTGCAGCAGAAAGTAAGAGATGCCTATGCACAGGACCCAATCTACAGTATGCTGCTCAAAAGAGTAAAGGAAGCCCCAGATAGTGAGCCACACTACCGGACCACGAATGGGCTACTGTTTGAAAAGACTAATGTCGCTGACATGCTATGCGTCCCCAATAGTGAAGAGATCCGTAGTCTGATCTTAGGGGAATGCCACGATACAGAAGGGCACTTTGGATGGCAGAAGACTTTAGCTAACCTGGTGATGTCCTATACGTGGCCAGGCATGAAAGCAGACTGCATAGAATATGTGCGCAGTTGCAAAGTGTGTCAGCGTAATAAAGCTACGACTAGAGACCCCCTGGGTCTTCTTAGACCCTTGCCTATCCCCTCCGGACCCGGAGATTCAGTGTCCATTGACTTCATGGATACTGGAGTCAGAAGCAGACATGGAAAAACTCAAGTCATGGTCATAGTAGACAGATTTAGTAAGTATGCAGTATTTGTTCCCTTGCCTTCATGGGCCCGTACAAAGTTAGTTATAAGGAAGTTCTTTGATTCTGGGTAAGCGAGAATGGTATGCCATTGTCCATAGTAAGTGATAGAGACACCCAGTTTACCAGCCAGCACAAACAAGATCTTATGAAAGTATATGGGTCTAAGTTGTTGATGTCGTCAGGACGACACCCCGAGACTAACGGTCAGACAGAACAGATGAATAAGATCTTGCAACAGCTACTCAAAATATTAAACCAGATCAGCTAGATTGGGACGAGTTGCTCCCCAAAGTAGCAAGCGCCTACAACAACAACGTTCACTTAGCTACTTGTCGGACTCCTAGTGAGTTACACAAGTCTTTTAAACCTAGGCGACCACTACGACTAAACCAGGATCAGATCCAGAAACTTCCACCCGGTACTCGAGAGTTCGCACTCCATCATGAGCAAGAGGTTGCTAAGGTCACAGACAACCTGAGGAAGGCCCTACACCACATGATAGAGCATGCTAACAAGCACCGCCGACCTTCACAGTTTCAAGTAGGTGACCTAGTCTGGGTCAAGTCAAAGGAGTACGCACCGGAGGAAAACATCTCGCAGAAGCTCTCACCTGCATATAGAGGACCGTGGCATGTCCTAGAAGTCAAAGGAGGAGAGCACGGCCCGTTGTATACRATAGAGATCCCAGCACACCTCCACACGTACCCAGTCTTCCACACCTCTAAGTTGTTACCTTGCACCAYGTCTGACAGGTTCCCTTCTAGAAGTTCGATGATTCCTACAGACATGGATGGAGCGTATGATATAGAGGGCATTGTGGAAGAGGACGTGTTTAGGACAGGAGGTCGAGGTCGTCCCCGGAAACAGTACAAAGTTAGGTTCGCATACCAGGAACCCGAGGACGACCGGTGGTTTACAAGAACARAGCTTTTAGAAACCGCTCCCGATATAGTACACGCCTAYGAGAGAGAAAGAAAAGGTRAAGGTCCTGCCTTGAGTTAGAGGGTTCTCAGAGGACCTCGAATTTAGGACGGCGGGAGTGAAACGGTTTTACCCAGTTGACCTGGTACTGCAGTCAGAGATTCGATCCCTAGACCTGTGCCCTAACCCTGTACATTGACCCCGTGACCTGAGTAAGATTCGATCCCCAAACCTGTCCTACGACTTAGGTTAGTCTGTAGTTTGGTCAGTAGGACTTGATCCCTAGGTCTGTAGATTGGCAACTAGGTCTGTTACCAATAGGCCTAGAGAGCCTGTTCTAGAAGTCTCTACTGAGTCTGTCGAAAGTCTGTAGAGTCTGTAGGTTCTAGAAGTCCGTAGGGTTCTGTAGGGGGGGTCCAGCCAGCATGTACCTAGGTAAGGGCTGCACGTGGGGAAGGTTCTGGAGCATGCAGAGAGTTCCACACGTTTTGGCCCAGAAGGCCAAACGTCTGGAAGCTTCCCTGGGCCTCACGTTTTGGCCCAGGCCCACAGGTCTGGAGGCAGGGTCCGGGTACCTCCGAAGAMGTATAAATAAACAGGCAGCGTCCAGCCATTCATTCATTCGTCTGTGAGCCATGCGGAAGAGCTGCCTTGGTGTCTTGTGCATGGAGGTCTGCAGGTGCCAGGAGACGAAGTGGGCAGTGAAGAAGACAGCGGCCATAGCTGGCCAGTGGGGTAGATGTCGGCGGCCATAGCCAGCAGGAGGAAGACGACGACGGCCATAGCCCCCCAGCTGTTGGTGAAGACAAGTGTTCAGAGTGTGTGAGGCTGTGCTGAATGGGGACATTCAGGGTGATCCTCGTACGTGCACGCATGAGACAGTGAGGGAGAGAGTGAGGCTGGTGGTAGAGACCGTGTTCGGCGGCCATAGCCGCAAGTTGTGCAGCTGTTAAGATTGAGTTTAAGACAAGTTCATTGTTGTTTTTGAGTTGAAAGAGTTCAGTTTTGCCATCGGTTCTCAAGTGTGCATGTTGTGAGCAAGTCCAGAGTTGAGTCTGATTGCACTTTGCCTGCATTCCTGCTTTTATGAGTGCCACGTCAGCAGTGCCACATTAGCAGTGCCAAGTCGTCAGCAGTACCACGTCGTCAGCAGTGCCACGTCAGCAACAAGGCCACGTAAGCAGTGCCACGTCAGCAGTGCCACGTCAGCAACAGTGCCACAACAGCAGCAGTGCCACGTCAGCACTGCCCCGCCACCATGACGATTCCAGCTTTGGGCATGCCAGGCCAACTGGCCAACGAGTCCACAGCCTCGTACCGACAGCGGCTCCTAGCTCAGCTGGCACGGGTCGAGGCTGAGGAAGAGCGCGAGGTGGCAGCCGAGGCTGCCCGCCTACAGGCTGAGGCAGAGGCAGCAGCTGAAAAGCAGCGGCTGCAAGCCGAAGCAGAAGCAGATGCCCAGGCCCTCCGCAAGGAGGCCCAAGAGCTGCTGCAGTGGCACGAAACCACCAACATCGACAAGCTCAAGTTCTGGCATTTTGAACCATCCGCCGGCCGCAACAACACAACACCGGAAGGGCAACACAAGGAGTTTTTCTCCAAACTCGTGACACGGTTGGTTTACACTTGTAACCACCAACAGGCCGAGGTAGAGAAAAAACACCAGGAACTGGCGAATCTCCGACAGGCAGTGCAGAACCTCAAGGATCTGCACGAGGGTGCTACACGGCCACTTCATTCCCGTGTACAGGACTTGGAGCAAGTTGCACCAAGACCGGATGCTGGCGAGTCCAGCAGTGCACCCTCTACTCGCCAATTGGAGGAACGAGTTGACCACGTCGTCGCAATGTTCGGCGACATCAGCACCTTCGCTGCACCAGCCACCATCAGCAAGCAGATGGACACCTTGAAGACCGAGGTTCAGCAAATGCACCAGCTTCCCAACAAGGATGGCAACACCAATGCGCAGCACTACAAGATGCCAACATTCCGCATCGAAAAGTTCGATGATTATACGCATCAAGACCCGGTCCCCTGGTGGGAGGGCTTTACGACGGAACTTCGGATTCTTTTTGTCCCCGAGCACTCGTATATCGGCGCGTTGTTCCTCGACTCAAAGGACGGATGCCAAATCTGGCTCAGCCACCCGGCAACCATCCAATGCGTCCAGGTCGCCGATCTACATAAGAAGATCTCTTGGGAAGAATTGTCGTGGCTATGGAAGAAGCGGTTCATCGTGGACGCGCCCCGACACTCGCCATCAGCCGCCTCTTCGCCATGACCCAAGGCAACACACCGCCACGCGACTGGCTCCCGGAATGGCAAAAGATTGTGGCAACGCCCGATCTCGAGCTGCCATTTTCGCATCTGCGCCAGGAGTTCTACAACCGGTCATGTGCCGCCTTGAGCCTCGCACTTGGTCATCGAAAGCAATACACGACCTTCGCCAAAATCATCGACAAGGCAAGGGAGATCATCAAGACCAACAGGGCGGTTGCAGACCAGAAGTCAGCGTGGCAGCCAACCTATGTGGAGGAAGGAAAATTTGGTCCGCGTCTGCAGCATGTCGCTGCAGTCGAACCGGACAACATTGTGGGAGACCCAACAGCCACCCAAGCATCACGTGAGGGAGATCAGGTGGCCGCTGTCCAGCCGTGAAGCAACAACAACTCCCGAGGAAAAGGGAAGGCGAAAACCACATCGCCGGCCGGAAACGGACAGCCAGTTCCATGGGTCAAGTTTCACTTGACTAATGAGGACACAGGTGTGGCGGACGCAGGTAATGAAAAAGAGGTTGTGATAGGTGTGACAGGCATCGATAATGAAGAAGGGGCTGCGACAGGCATAGTCCGAGGACAGGTGTGTGGATACCCAAGAAAGCGGGTGATGAATAGACTATCGAAGCATGTTGCGGAACCAGCTGGAGAGGCGGGTCACGTGCGCAGGGTACCTGTGTTGACGTTTACGAATATAGGAAGTTCATCCTTTCGCAAGCGTTGTTGGAGAGTGCCCGCGAAAAAGCATGCGGCATGTGAGCATCGCTGCTACAGTTTTGAAATCATACCAGTTGTTGCAAACATACTCAAACCTAGTAAGTTGGCCTGTAAACACTCACGCCGGCTGGTGTGCAGGGACGTTAGACGTAGCACTAGGATAACGAATAACAGGGAAATTTCATTCAGCTTCTTTGTCAAAGACACTCATACGCAGGGAACCGTCAGGGCGGACTTGGAGGCGTGCACCCAAGAATGTGCAAGAGCCATCAGGCGGTTGTGGTCTCCTTCCATTTGAGGACATAGTGCTCTAACGGTGGTGGCAAATGTCCCCATGAGAGAACATCATCGATCAAGCGGTATGTGAACGCATACCGTTGAGCTGYGCGAAGATCACGCCGCTGGAGGTCATCAACAAATCGAGCCTCATCCCAATACAACGTCAAATTAGCTATCTTCGGACCAGAATTAGTCCCCATCGGGATGTCGATCAGCTGATGTTGCAAGGTGTCGTCCACTGCATAAAGATATATGTTTGTGACAATGAAATGGAGATGTTCAAGAATTTGGGAAACGGTCAAGGTCTTTGGTCCGATATCAACCGTCCACTCCCCTTGACGGGGCCCTTTAACAATCATGTTAAGGGTAGGAGGATGTGTGCGTCCCTGCGTGTGTTGTTGTAAGGCATATGTATAGGCTTCCTCAACCGCTTTTGATACATTATGACAAATACGGTCATGAGGAAGATTGGTATACATAGTTGTAAAATCAACAGTGCGAGGAGCATGGTCACGAAGAGAAGAGGAATTATGTTTGAAATCAAGCATCACCTCCTCAGCGCTTTGCACGATCCAGCATCGTCTTACACCGCTTTCTTGATACAACACATTATCCTTCTCACGGAGAGTTTCAACGACTCCTTGTAGTGTTACGCTAAGACGGCAGAAGCGACGGTAGTACTGGCCAAGGGTTTGTGGGGAGGTCGATGGTGGACTGCATGAATAGATGGCGGGTGGACTGCATGAATAGATGGCGCAGTTGATCGAGATCGCTTCGGCAGGGACAGATTATTCCGCTCTGTGACGCGAACAATACTGCGAAGCCCAGGGGGCGATTTGTGCGCTTTAAGTGCATCGTACAGATATGGCAGCGTGTCTTTGTGTGTATATCCCCACCAATGATTCCAAAGCGCGTGATGATCCAAAATATCTACGACAGACTCAATAGGCACATCATAGGTAGGGCTGTCCAAATGAGCAGATAGATGAGACAGGTACCAATTTTTACACCAGATGGCCAAGTTATGTGATGCCTTGTCGATAGGAACAATAGCAAAGTGTTGTTGAAGGTGTCTGAAAGCCCTGTGCACCGAGTAAAGGGAGTGCGGTTGTCGTGTGGTAGTGTGGGGGGATGAGATGTTGCTTTGGCAACGTGTGAGAACGGCTGAGCGGCACTGCTGCAATTTGTTCAGAGTGGCCGACCGAAGCTTCTCAGAGACCGACCTCAGGTATTTAGCAATATACTCATCAAGGCCGACTCTAATAGCCTAAAGCACATCAGCGATTTGTCCATACTTCGAGCCTGCATGGAACAGGTCGCGGAGGCGATCATAAGGAATGATGTCGCAGTCGGTTGTAACAACATGGTCGTCGACTAAGTCTGAGCAGTCAGGAAACACTTTCCGACATTGACAGCCTGAGGGGTCGGGCAAGGAGATCCCAGGTGTGACGCTGAGCGCAACTTTCGTGAAATTAGAGAATTGGACGTGAGTTGGCGGCAACAACTTATCACAGATACGCAGGTGTGTTGCGACATCAGGGTCAGGGTGCAAGTGGAGCACCTTGGGCGCATGCAGGGCTTGGAGCAGCCTCGTTACCTGAGACACCTCATGCATGTGCACGACTTTAATATGATCAAGGAAGGCATCTCGAGATTGAGTTGTGTATCGTTGGCGGACATGTTGATACTTCCGAATCAGGCATTCAAGCTGACGGATATGCGCAGTCATATCTGCATTGGAGATGTTATTGCTCAACCACTGCAGCAAGCGGGCATGCCAAACTGACATTGCTTGTTGGATGACAGATTCCATCTGTTGCGAATTGCCAGCAGCAGCCTGTGAGAGATGACTGTGCAATGCAGAGCGGACTTGAAAGTCGGGGCCTGGACGCAAATCAATAGGTTGGGGCTGTTGATGGTCTGACGAACGAGGGTTTGTCTGTGTCCACCGATGAGGACGACGTTGTCGTCTTCTTGCACGCAGGCGAGCAAGCGGGAGGACAATGGTGAGACCAGCTGGATGAAGAGTCCACAACCGGCGTACCCAATAGGCTTCCTGTGTCGTAGCAGCCCGTCGAAAAAGGTTACGGTTAACAAGACCTTGCGATGTATGGTAAAGGGCCAGGTCAAAATGTTCCAAGGGCCAGACTGCAAAATTGAAGGGGTCTTGACAAGACATAACACTGTAGAGCCGACGGCGCCAAAACTCCGCAGCAGAACGACGAACATGCCAATGTTCCTGCAAACGTTGATGTGAGGAGTGCATAGTCTGACCTGTGTAAAGACGCCCAGAGGGGATATGAACGATGGCATAGATCACTTCCCGGACAAAGAGAGGGTCCATACCTGATTGCAGTGCCTGCTGATCAATGCCTCTCAGCTGCAATTCGAAACGCTCTGTTTGAATCGTCGTGTTAAGTTGCTGCAATTGCCTCTTGCACCAAGTGCCTGCAGAGTAGAGGTCAGTATTCCAGCGAAGGTGCCGAATCCAATCAACGCGACGTGTGGAATCGGCGTGTAGATGAGGTTGGGAGGAAAAAGCAAAAAAGAGTCGATGAATATTATGAGAAACTATACCTAAAGTAGTGTCGATAGGATATCTCCCAAGAATTCCCTGATCCACCGTGTCTAATGTAGTGTCAATAGGAAATCTACCAAGGATTCCCTGACCTATGTTGTTGGAACTACGCCTACCATGCCAGTAGTAGGAAACTTCCCGAGAATCCCCTGATTAATCCTTTGTGTTGAATTCATTTGTTTAAAAGTAACGTTTAGTTTTTTGAATTTTTTCATTTTTTAGGTAAGAGAAGAGATGAAGAGGTGCACAGAAAGGCAGGGTATTAGGCCCGGCAGCCAGTTCGGGAACTAATCTTGTCGCCGTCCTGTTCGTATGGTATTCACCATTAACAGTGAGCCAACAGAATGTTGGTTCATGTATGACTCTGCATCCCCCGGTGAGTGTGTCGTGACCCAGTGTGATCCAATGTGATCCTAGTGCTCACAGCCTCGCACCGACAGACCAACAGTGTCAGATCAGCAAAAGCAAGCCAACCTGTAGGTTTTATTAATGTGTGAGGATTACACGAAAGAGTGCGATACAAAGAGGTGAGATGGGCATGGGGGCTGCTACCCGGGTTTGGTTAACCTTAGATGGGCCGTAACTATACCCACTACACAGGAAAAGGGTTACAACTTGTGTCCTTGCGGTGACCGCCACCACAGTCCTTATGTGCACAATACCTTATACAATAACAAAACCGTAGCACCAAGCAACGTACCAGATCAAACACCTAACAGAGCTAGTATTGTCCAAGCATAAAGAAAATAAAAACAATATAGCATGTTATAAAAAAACTCGCCGAATGAAATACAGCCCCTGAAAGGATTCAGGAAGCAAAGAGAGAACAGGAGGCAGAATGCAAAAAGCAGATTGACAATACGCAATTTATACATCAATGAAAGACATTAATTGAAGATTCAATTGAAGAATCGCCTGGTTGTACAGGCCCGACGCTCGTTGTTCGATCTGCAAACGCAGAGAGCTAGCAACGTCGGCATATATATTGTCACAGAACTATTAACTAAGAGCGTAAGCACGTGAAGTAGAAGAAGAAATAAGATGAGCGACGAAAAGAAAAATGAAACGACAAACAGGCAAAGAGACAAACAAACCAAAATGACAGAAAACAGTGTCCTCTTATTCTTTGTTTCAAAGTATTATTATTTCTTTCAGTGTTTTACAAAAAACATACACTGAATCAAAGGATAAAAATCAAAAACAAAAGCACATTGAAATCATTCAGTTTCACAATCTTCTTAATGCCTCCTCCACTGTGCCTCTAACGTACAAGGCTCGCCACGTTGATAAAGTTGAGCGCGAGTTGCCCCCATCCCCGTATGCCATAACAGCCCACTTGCACGCTATGGGAAAGACGCAGAGTGAAGGAAGAGGTGTTAAACACAAGGAAGAGAGGAGCAGAAAAGGTGAGCTATGGAGTAACTAGGAAAGAACCGGTACATCACCAAGTGAGAGAGAGACTGAACTTGCACAAGTGAATCTACAACATACACACATGTGAGCTATGGAGCAACTAGG